TTGTGCGCGTCTGTTCGGGTATTTTAACTTATCTTGGCCAGGCATTATTCCAGGGACGTGGCATCAACTTTTACGTACGTCAGACCCAGATATGACCACGTGAAATTTGTAGTGAAGAAATGGTTCAACTACGCCACACCCTTTTCTTTTCTACTACATGCCTGCAGTACCACTGTGTGCCCAGACCAGTAATAATGTTTTTTATGAAATATCTGGCTACTGATTAACGAAATTTGCTAAATTTCAGTGTTTATTAATGCGAGCCGATGCAGCACATCATATTCGTCTTTCCATTGATCCTGACCAGCACAGTGTACAATCTCTGGCCATATTTCCCGAGAATTCATTTACCGCTGGCGTTATTTCTGAGACTTGCGATGTAGAATCATTTCGACCGGATGGTACAATATAGGATCCGTTGTTGTGAACACAGTTCAGGAACTGCCTCTGTGAGTTATGATTTGGGTATTGAAATTTTATTTAGCTTTTTATTTCCAATACATTCCTTCTTGCATCCAAAACATGGCAGGGAGGGGTGAGGGTGAGTTGGCACAAGGAATTGGTACGAGGGGCTGGGGGGAGGAAGAGGTGGAGGGGCAGCTGCTGCCTCCTTTCCCCTCTCTTGCTAATCTGCTCATTGCTTTCCGTCTATCTTTTTTAATCTCTTAGATAAACCAATGTGACTTTAATTGATTTTAGGCCTGACACGGTCTCCTATATTCAGAAGATGGAGAAAGAGCGTTATGCACGGCAGCACGGTGCCCAACAAGATAACCGGTCGTTTATCCAAAAATATGTTAGTTTTTCCATTCGCCATCCTTGCGCCGTAACTTTATCCCTTTTCACCCTCAAGTCGGACATATTATGGCGCGAGATATTTTATAACTGTAGTCTGCCCGAAGTTCTTGAAATATAGCATTCCAAAATGTGTATTTCAACTCTGTCCAAGTGATCTGGAAAATGCTTTTTGATAAGTTTAAGTGCGACTTCCTGTGGCTTTGTTACAGCGGTTTTTGATTAGCCCCGTTGTAGATTGATATGCAATAGAGTTTGACATGCGCATCTTTGTACTAGTTTGACATCAAAAGCTTACTGCGCTAATCCACAATCAGATCATTTCCCCTTCTGTTTCTTCCTGTGGCTTTTCTCTTTTATTTTTCCATTAAGCACTACGACCGTCATACAGACGAGGTCCTACTGTCACGCGGTGTTGAGTTATTTCGTATATGACTTAATGGATCGAAACGTCTTATCTCACTCTTACCTTCTTTTCTCATACTGTTCTTTTATGCTGCAATCTATCGTGCCTTCACCATTTAGGCTTCCAAGGTCAACCTGGTTGTTACAATCAGCTTCCCGTGCTGTTTTTGATCAAGTATTACAGTTTTGTATCATTTATAAACGGGCCATTTATATTTCTTGTTTAGTGGATGTATATAGCTGCGGCCGTGGTCTTTATGGTTATATCGAATGCAGCAGCAGCGGAGCAAGGTGCCGAGTAGATCGGTGAT